CCTTGTTTTATTGCATTTTTTCCAATATTTTAGATCAAAATACTGTCAATTTTTGTAAATACGAGTCCACAGTCTTGTTCTAAGTCAGTAATAGCGGTCAATAATTTCCTGATACTTCATGCTATTTCTCTGTTTAACAACCCCATGCAAGCTCCACGCAAGTTAACTACGTGATTAGTTAATCATCCGACTAACTACATTTTGTGCAACGCAGTTAAGTCGTGTAGTTAACTAATCATAGTTAAGGATTTAACTACAGTGATTAGCGCTAATCATAGTTAAAGTTAACTGCGTTTTTATACAACCGGCCCCAGGAGTTCTACTTCTGTTAGGTATTCTGTGCTATGAGCACATGCTCACAACTGCTCATGAGGATTCGCTCATCTGCTCATAAAACTGCGTTGCTGCTCAATATACAGGAATTTCTACACTGCCCGTCCAAAGGGAATGAGCTGCCAATTTTGCGGAAGGCACTTAAGCCGCGGCTACAATCACGAACAGGAATACTGTTCACTACGAGAGCAAGAAAGAAACATGTCTCAAACAGACTCTGACAGCGAAGGTGGAGATCTCCAAGACGATGTCTCGACCGCTTCCAGTCAGGAGCCTGAAAGTTCGACGACGATTGATTCAGAATCTGAAGGAAAGATGGATCCATGGATGCCGCTTATAGAAAAAGCAAAGTAAAGAAGCAATACAGCTTTCGAAGAAATGCAAGTAAGCCTTATAAACACTGGTTTAGATGAGCACTCTGGCAAAGGTAAAGCTTTCTCGAACATCATGCCTATAACCTTCAGAAAGAATTAGAAAATATTTATTTGGAGCGCCTTTTGTGGATGAAAAAACGAAAGAAAGACCTAGTACATAAGAAACCTGGCGATACGAAATGAGATTTTGATGTATTGCAATTTATTGCTGTAATTAATCGTTAGATGAATAAATGTTAAAAACGCAAATCTATATCTGTTTTAATCCAACTGTTTCTGGCGTTCAAGCTCCGTCTGAAATAAAACTTTGTACTCAAATTTAGTTTTGTAATTTGCTACTTTATATAATGTGCTGTTTGCTGTAAAGTATTTCCACATTTTCCCTAATAAGTATACGATTGCATCTTTCTATACGACTGATGCTTTCGTTTCATTCTGCGTTGTAAAGAACCGAATACATTACATAGACTTTATTTAGACATGCTAAACATGCAACATTTAGTTCTTTATGAGGTTGGTTTGAAATGCCCTATTCTTTTAGAAAGGTTTAAAATTTCCTGTTGGTAAATTTTGTACCTTCATCCGAGCAAAAAGTTGCAGGTTTGCCGGATGCTTTTTAGAATTTTCTCAAACGTACCGACTAGATTTTCCCCCGTCTTTGTTTTTATCGGTTCAACCCACGCATACTTGCTAAGTACAAGTTAAAATGTATTTCTTTTTTTTTCACGGTGAATATGTATTTGTTGTTATTATTATACTTTGCTACCCGTCTCCGAGGCCGTTCCAAACCGACATTTCATCGAGACATTTTCGTTTCTAATTGGTTAAGCATGACTGTGATCATGACCAGGGCACAGGTCTGGAGTGAGATCGAACACAAACAGTGTATAACCGTTTGTATATTCTTCACGAGATTTATCCATTCGCCCTGATTTTCCAGGCCTTCATTTTTCCTTCCATTTCAAATTTCCGCACTCAGCAGTTTAATGCGTGCTCGCGCCTTGGTTTCGGTAGCTCTAATCTGTCACCCATGGCCAGAAATTACATGGAGAACTGTCCTCACCAGTTAGCTCAAATTTTTCCTGGAATATATTAAGGGCAGCTTCGATCTCGCACTCAGGAATCATTTCAAGGATCTATAAATAAAAAATGAAAAACTTGAGTACAAGGCACACGAAAATCAAATACGATTTTGAAAGAAAAAAACCTTAAAACAAAAGAAAACATTTTTACTTACAGATTGAGATATCTTTAAAATATTCACAAATTTCGTCAGAGAAATCGCACAACGATTGCAATATTAATTGACCAACAGGATGCTAACGGAATTACTCCTACTGAAAACATTTAACGAATAAAGAGAACGCCACGCTGAAGTTCCCATACAATGCGTCGTTTAGCTTTACACGGACAATTAACCTCAATTTCCTCAATTTAAATAATCAGTGTTCTTTGTCAATTCTCTTCAGCCCATGACTAATTAACAATTTCAATGAGCTATATTTACCATTTATAGACCTGGAGTGAGGGGGATTCGGCGAAATTTTTTCCGAAGTGATGATATATTATACAGAAAAAATATTGTGAGCTTGTAGAATAGCCAAACATACAGTACACCCAAAAAAGAAGAAGGCTATTTCAGATATGTCAGAGAACCTCGTCACCACGGAGAGAGCGGGAAGTTAATGTATGCTACGGCGGTAAATTTCAAAAAGCCGTATGTCTTTTCTCTTTATAATGATATTTTTGCGTGTTGAACGCAGAACTTTGCGTAAAACTTTCCGTAGAACTTTACGCCCCCCCCCCCCCCCGTTTGCTCTCTCATGGAGCAATCTTCGGAAATTTTCTGTGCGAGTGTGAAACGACCTCGCAGAGCAGAGTTGGACGCTTCGGAAAAAGGTCAAACCGCAGTGGACGATTTCGAAAGTAGAATTAATGCAAAGATAGACAAATTAACGTCTATTGTCAGCGACGTTGTGGGTGTGGTCTCCATCGTTCGTGAACTGAAAATGGCTTACTGCGGTATGTTTACGACATCATGGCTGACGGACATGAACTTCTGAGCTGTTCAAATTTTACGAATTTTCAAAGCTATGAAGTAAATGATGTTCATTAAAGTAAAAGAAACAGATTTCTATATCTAGGAAGAGAGGATTTCTTCTGGATGTGGAACTTAAATGAATTGAAACAGTTTGTACAGACGTCTCTAAAGTTGGATGGAAATGATCTCGGCTTGGTGGCGATATTAAGCAATTTACAGCGGGAGGCTATGTCTTCAAATGGTATGGACTCGTTAAAAAGAAAATAGCTTTGATTAAAGACAGTAAACATGGCGCTTTAAAATCTATGCTACAGAGTTTCGTTTGCGCTAAGACTCATACGCCGAGGAGGAAGAAGCTCTCGAAGCCAATATGGCCTCCAGTACTTGTTTATTTGATGAAATCTCTGTGGCTGAAAATTCGCGTATGCTGTTAAGTGACATAGCTCCTATTTGAATGTTAATTTGAATGCCGAATCAGCACTTGAAAAAAAATTGCATCAAAATATAATAAATTCAAGGAAGAGTTAAGAGAATTAAGAAATGTCTTTAACCAGGAAATAGTACAATCGAGGGAACTCGAAAATGCCCTTGCATAAGATAAACTCAAGATTAAAGAATCAATCAATCAACAAAATTAATATTGCCACACACTATACTAACCATATTAATGAAGAGATTGCAATTTTGAGAGCGGGAATGGTAAATTGAAAGAGAAACAAGAAACTAATTTAACGTATATAATGTCGGGTTCGAACACAAAGTTATTAATAGTTGAAGAAGAAAATAGGCAAGACAAGCCGACTTGCAAGATTAGAGATAATGAATGTAGCAATGATCAACATAAAACTCGACTGTCAGAATCCAGTGTTAATCTGGAATAGAGATAAGAGGATTATGACGACCATGAATAGATTTTCACTTTAATTCTCTTTAAATCTCATGAAAAACTTTTGTTATAAACAAACCACACAAAAAGTGTCGGAGATTTTTGGCGTATTAATTATTTATTAAGCACTAATATTTCACATTACACGGTCATATAATGCGATAGAAAAGATAATTATTCGCAAAAAAGCTCTTTAAATGAGGTCAATAGACCGTTTAATTACAGTTTAAATCCAGATTGACATAAACAGGATGCAAATTACTTACTTAATTACAACATTCAAGACTATTAAGGCTAACACTCAAACTTTGGGAACATTTTCGATGTCTTGATAAATGCATGCATAAAGTGCTAAGAAACATGTTTGGTAAATTTTGGTTCGTGTTATATATAACATTGTATACACTTTTGCAAGGTCAAGCAATAAACGATGTTTCAGTTTAACTGACAGTGAAATGGACAACGCTGGTTTCTGTACGACGCCATTGTATTGTCATAAAGGCAGTGTTCTAGTTCCCTCGAGAAAATGCATAAATAGAGAAAAATGTTGTATACCTCATACGTTACAGCGAAAGACAAGAGGTATGTAACATAACATACGACCAACATGCAGGTCCCACCATAAATCCTGTGTTCAATTACTAGTGCACCAAACTCTGTGTTGAACGCATGCAGCTTGTTAGTGATAATAAGATTGTTGGTTTTTCTCTGCGCTTTGTAAGTTTTTCCCCGCCTCTGGAAACTTAGAATTTCTACATCTCTCAAGGAGAAGAAGCCTATATAGAGCAAATAAACACATACGCGGAGACATTGGCAAACATCTTGCGCAAGATGGCAAGCCAGTCAGCCGGTTACCAAAGCTTTCGCATTGGGCTGGAGATGACTGCTTTGTGTGGGAGGCAGGTCCACGAAAACTTTCATCAAAGATCCTTTTCGCTAAAGCCGGTTTTCCACTATATAGGCGAAATTTTTCGATCGAACAAAATGTTTCGCTCGATTTTCTTTTCAATTGTGACCGGAATCAGCTACGGTCGAATTCTCACAATTGCAAGCCAAAGAATATCAGGCGAAAAATTTCGTTCGGTCGAAAAATTCCGCCTAGTGGGCCTTGTTTTGATACGGCTCATTTGTGCCTAGCATTTGTGCCACATGTTTCAAAATGTTTAAATCACACTCAGTGGTTTAAATATGGAAATTGCAAGGGTGTGCGGGTTGGACCACCCGGGAAAACTAAGGATGCGATTGAGCCCTGTTTTCAATCTAAATGGGAAACAAATTATTGTATGTGTTTTCGTTTCTTCTTCCAGATATTGCTCGAGGAAAATTCAAGTTTGAGAGACTGATCACGACGGCATAGCACGAAAAATGGATTTTAAAATCGTAATTTATTATATTGAACATATTAAGAGTTTTTGTACGGGTATTAAAAATACAAATTACTTATTACTACCAAATTATTATCGGGTGGCCCAAAGTAATTTTACCCCTCTTTAAACTGTTTTACTATAAACCGAAAGAGGCCGTGCATGTGGTTCAAGTACCGTATCCTAAATCCACGAATGTTCAACTTAAATTTACGTATTAATTGAACATTTTTATACAAAATAAGTTGATATATGCGTTTTATATTAATCACATATCGAAAAATAAGAATACCGGGGGAATAGAATAGATTTATTTTAAATTACTAAAATGGAGGACAAAATCATTTAAGCACAAAATTAATTTGGATTTGATTTTTAAACTTAAGTATAACACATTTTTCCCAAAGATGAAGAGAAGTCCATTATGATCCCATTTCCCTAATAACGTACAATCCCATCATAGCTTTGTTTTTAAATTCTATAGATTTCACTTTGTACTGGTAATGATGAATTTTTAAGTATCTTTTAATGTCCATCTTTACGATATAGATGCCAAATGCGTTTTTTGATTCCTTCTCAAGCACAGTGCTTTCTATAACATCAGCCTGTGGAATTTGCCCTTCTTTATATAGAAAAAACTGCCAAAGGGAAATGCCCTTGGAACAAGGTTGATCCTTCCAAATGAAATATGTTCCGCCACCTCTGCACGCGCCACTAGAATAAGGTAAGATATTACCTTGTTTGCAGTTTAATCTTAAAATTCCTCGGTAGCAAACAAGGTTTACTACTAAGAGGAGGTGGTTTTATTGTTGATAAAAATAAAAGCAGTTCCCCAATGTTTACTCGTTTGCATCAGTTATACAAGAGCAATCAACATTTTCACCATTGTAGGCTTCGTCATAATGAAGACGTGGTATGTAACGTCAAACCATGCATGTCTTTTACTTCGTCTTGCAAGATCTAAAAAATGCCAGAAAAAACTTGGTGGAATGAATGCACAATTAGCCATTTCTCAATCGAGCAGGGTACTGGGTCTAGTCGCGAATCGCAAAACCCAAATGGTGGAATGAATGCACAATTAGCCACTAATTAGCCATTTCCCAATCGAGCAGGGTACTGGGTCTAGTCGCGAACCGCAAAACCTAAATGGTGGAATGAATGCACAATTAGCCACCAATTAGCCATTTCCCAATCGAGCAAGGTACAGGATCTAGTCGCTAACCGCAAAGCATCTATGGACTGTTTGGAAGGACAAATGATTACAATTGCAATGTTTCGCTACGTTCGCGACTAGTCCCAGTACCCTGCTCGATTGGGAAATGGCTAATTGTGCACGTTGTGAGTGCGTTCACTTTAAGAAACATCGCTCTAAAAAAACTCCTCAATTTAGGACGCAGCCGATCTCTTCCTTGCAGTGGCTGGGAGTTTAGAGTAGCCCACGAAACATGCCGAACATCGCGGTAGATATGGACAGAGCTTTAGCTCCTTAAGCTACTTAAGCACTACAGCAGTGTTGGCCCCAGATTAGTCTCCGCACTCACAACTTATGCAAATTCCCATTCCATAACCCCTACTGCTATCAAGCGTCAAGTTTGGTGAAAAGTTAACATATGTTCAAAGCGAGACTTCGTGGTTAAGACAATAGCATTTAAGCAGCATAAACATACTTTCGACGTGAGACAGGATATTAAAGCCATGCATGAAAGGTGCAACTTATAGTTCGGTTTAGTTCAATCTTGATGCAAAGTCTTGTACTTCAAATGTTGATAATATACAGTTAGCTTTCTTTTCGACTATCAATTTGAAGCATTTTTTTGCCATCGTAGCGTCAGCGTCCTAAATCTTAACCTTGTCATTGAAAAATCAGTTTTATGATATTCAGCCATTAACTAATTACACGTGGTTTTCCAAGCTCTTTAAATAACGGACAGAGAGGAGATAAAATTCCTATAAACCTGAAAGAAAATACTTACATCGTTTATCATTCTATGTTGTTGTATCGTGCGCTTGCCTTTGAACTCATCAGCTGCAACAAATATTCTGTACATCGAGCCACATCCGCCTAGATGAAAATAAAAGTTCAGTTTACATGATTTACAGCTTTATCTTCCCCTCAAATCTACGGTTATACTAACATATCTTGTTTGGCAATCTATTGTAGCTATATGTTTTGGTCTATATACACGATAGGTCTATCCCGTCGCAAATCAATTGAACTTTGCCAAACTAACCAATAGCAATAATTAGTTGAACCTAACCCTGCATGTTACTTTCTGAGACTAAGATTGGCACCGCATGCTCTGTTTGTTAGTGCGCCCGCGATAAATACGGTCCGAAAGTTCGTAATAAAAAAGGGCAGAGCCCTGCAGTTGTACGAAGGCTGTATTATCCAAACGTTCTAAAAGTGCCAGAAAAGCTATAAAATTACAGCTATGCAGCTAAAAAATTTTATAAAGACGGTACTCAATCTAATCAAAGTTATACCCGAACAATGGGTAAATTTAGAGGGAATTGATGGCCTAATTTGATTTGGATTACTCAATTTAAGAGATTGAAAAACTACCCGGTGAAAAAAACTATCGCACAACCGACCGTAGAGTTACAATTTGCTTCGTGCAATCGGCCCCGATAATTATAATAGCGACTATGAGGAAGATGCAACCGACAAAGAAAGAATTTTGAGAGAAACACCCGAACGTACCTCAAAAACTATGTTTTAGCGTGTTTCGTTTCACATGTGAATTAGTGAATTGTTTTTTAGGTGTAGATTTAGGCATTGCAGGATCGACGCGACCTTTACAGAGCAGATATAAACCCCCGGAGAGTTTACACTATGACTGACTAAATTTTCGCCATTTATCAACATGCAAAATTCTATAGAAACTTTGGCCACCGGCTTCCTCCTAGTCCTGCTAGTAAATGGGCAACAATACATTAACCTGCTATTTGACCTGTTTCACATACTGTTACATTACTACAATATCAGATTTAAACCGTTGTTTCCAATCTTATATCATATAAATAAACAAGATCTTGCTGTTAAACGACTTTGCTATAATTATATTACTTTTGCATCCTCCTCTGTTTGATTAAAAAACCCCGGCATGTCCCTTGGTAAACAACAGGTATTTCATTTGTTTATAATGCTGTATTATTTACAATCCTCGGCACAATCATCTGACACAGATGATAACTTCACAAAATCTACGACGATGAGACGTGATATGAGTGGCGATACTTTTATATATGCACGTAGCGTTGAAATGTTGAACCAAAAATTGACATCCGTGGATCCACTGTCAGTTTGGTTGGTCAAAGACCACTATCCCACGTTAGCAGCTTTACAAATGGATCTCGAGAAGATGTGGCCATGCATTGAAAACTTGGAAAATCCCCGATTCCAGCTGGTATTGTTAAAAGCTTTGAGAGGCGAATCCATCAACGTTGTCGTGTATGGCGGTTCCAATTGTGTTCAAGGCATGTTCCCGGTCATCTTCCAGGATTGGTGGAACACGGTAATCACGCCAATATCCGGATCGTCGTTGAACGTAAAGACTATTGGCATTGGTGGTACCGGAAGCGGGTACTATCAGTACTGTCATGGCGTATATCTACGACAGAATGAAACCATTGATCTGGTGATTCTTGAAACGGCCGTTAATGATGCTGTCGACACCGCATTTGACTCGTCGAATCTCAATCGTAATTTGCCGCTCGAGCAGTTGACTAGACAGTTTCTAAACCGCCCAAATCACCCGGCCGTGTTTTATGTAAACCTATTTCTGGTTAGTGAACGTGGCGAGTGCCTAAACCTTGTAGATTTCGGTCAACGTTTGATTTCCAACACCTACGGTATAACAACATTCAACTTACGATGTTTGGTTTGCCAACTTCGTGACGGTAAATTTTACGCGTACGAAAAGACACGTAAAGTTCAACATGGTTGGCATAGTAACCTGTTAGGGCATGCGCAGATTGCCTTTATGATTATTAACACGATTTCACAAAGTATCGTTAAGATGACTCAAAATGCTACAGAAAAGGGGTTAAGTGATCTTTCATTGTTCAACACAGTTCGTCCGAAAATTTCTGCGCTACCCTTCCCAATGTATATCAGAGAAAATAGTTCGATTACCTCACCGCAGTGTTGGTCAAACTTAAGATACGACTACAAAAATGCAAACACCGGCAATTCTTTGCGGCTAACTCTTTTAAAGAGCATTGGTTTCAAATATGCCAACACAATTAGAATAGGGAAGATATCGTATTCCGCGAAATCAGTGGAACGCACAGACTCATTTGGTGGTTTCCTTGGAAAGAAAGTAAATTCAGAACTGACCGTGGCGTTTACATTTACGCCACATAGATCAGAGGCTTCAGTCACAACAGGTTCAGTTGGTATAGCATCTCGTTATGGTAACGTTGGAGGAGTAGTCGAAGTTTGGTTGGACGATGGCTATAACAAGCGTGTGAGAGTTCGTCTCCGAGGTTATTATGCACAAACTGCTGTTGCTATGGTTGATGTCGGCGTGCAACCAGGTAGACACACGTTGACAATGCGCATTGTAAAAAAAGGAAGTTGTGTTTTAACTGCAGTTTTTGCTTGGCCTTCAGATTGGTCGTGATTAATTATATGAAGCAAACTGAGTTAGGATCACAAAGCGTACAGTACACAGATACCAAAGAAACTGGTCCAGAGTATAAAAATTTATTGAAACCTTTGTCTTGGTTTCCACCGACAAGATCCTTCGAATAAACTACTTTATAAAAACACAGAATAAACCTAAAACACTGCCGCTTTGGACGCTTTTTTTAAACTAACATTACCAAATGACAATGCTTTTTGTTAAATGGATCTCACGTCGTCTATTTCGTCGTCTATAAAACACTTGTGAAGCCATTTAGAATAGCAACATGCATTGTCGATTTAACCTGTTATAATTAGACAATATAATTTTCAGCTATATATATGGTATATAGTGTGACGATTTTCTCACGGTTGGCATAAGTGACATAATTCACGAAATTTGGTTGGGTATATTAATTATTCTCATGAATAATTCCACAAAGGAATTTCTCCTTGGCTTGCTTGTACGATTTTTATTATGCGCACTCGCCAACCATGAAGTAACCTATATTTATACGGTCGTTTGCATATACTTGGAAGAATATTTGTGTTGAAAATTTCGCTTGGCTTTTTTACCCATGCAATAAACATTGAAATTCTTCATTCTGCTATATTATGTTCCGTTAATATTTTCAAAAGCAGAATGAGTGAATGAGCTGCCAAAATTAAATCCATCCAACGATTCGTCTCAACTTAATCGAATCGTTCAAATGCTAAACCAAGGACTGATATCAGAAGACCCGTTGTTAAATCGATGGTGATCCTAGAAACAGCTTTTAACGATGTTATAAACAGAGTCTTTGGAATGCCCAGACAGTTGACCAGACAGTTGCTAAGACGCCCAAATAGTCCAGCCGTATTTTATGTAAACCTATTCCAGGTCAGCGAACACAATTCCCAATGTGTATAAATCTTGTAGATTACGGACAAGATTTGATATATGATAGCTACGGAATCACCACGCTCAATTTACGATGTTTATGCTGTCGTTTGCATAAAGACAAATTTTATGCCAGTCCTAATACTTATGACGTTCACGAAAAATTGCATTGTTAAGTTATTTATAGGACATGGGCAAATAGCGTTCTTGATAATCCACGTGATTTCAACGGCCATTGCCAGAATGAAAAAAAAGGCAGGTCATTTATTGTGGACGATCTTTCTTCAGTTAGTGTGACGATTTTTACGGTTGTCGCTTTTGGCTTTGAGTGTTTTTGACCCGCTGAATTATACCTGCCCCGTAATGTTAAAAGCGATAATTGTCTTAAAGATTTAATTCTAATAACTATGGTCTTGCATACGGTTGTTTTCATACTAGCGATAATATTTGTGTTTCAACATGCCACAAATTTTGTGTATGCAACAGGTATTGAAGTTGTTCATTCTGCTATATTACGTTCCTTCAATATTTTCAAAACAAGAAAAACTCACAACGGCTAATGATCTGCCAAAATTATATCCATTTAACGGATCGTCTCAACTTACTCGAATCGTTCAAATGCTTAACGAAAGACTCGCATCAGAGGATCCCTTGTCAATCTCGTTACTAAAAGATCACTATTCTACGTTTAATGGGGTGCGTATGGATCTTGGCAAGATGTCTTCATGTATTAAAAACCAAAATAATTTCCGATTTGAGCTGGTACTGTCAAAGGCTTTAAGAGGGGAAGCGATCAATGTTGTTGTATATGGCGGCTCCAACTGCGCCCAAGCCATGTTCCCGATCATCTTAAAAAATTGGTGGAGTAAAGTAATCACGCCAGCCACTGGATCGCCGTTAAACTTGAAGATCATCGGCATTGGTGGCACGGGAAGCGGGTACTATCAGTTCTGCCATGAAATATACATGAAAGAAGCTGAAAACATCGATCTGGTGATCCTGGAAACAGCTGTTAACGATGTTATGAACACAGTCATTGGAATGTCAAATATCAATCATAATCTACCACTCGAGCAGTTGACCAGACAGTTGCTAAGCCGCCCCAATAGTCCAGCCGTATTTTATGTAAACCTCTTCCTGGTCAGCGAGCATAATTCCCAATGTTTAAATCTCGTAGACTATGGACAAGATTTGATATCTGATAGCTACGGAATTACAACGTTCAATTTAAGGTGTTTATGCTGTCGTTTGCATAAAGGCAAATTTTATGCCACCCCTAGGACTTATGATGTTCACGAAGGATTGCACAGTAAGTTATTAGGACATGCGCAAATAGCGCTCATGATAATCCACGTGATTTCAACGGCAATGTCAAAGATTGAAAAAGATGCGAAATCATTTAAGCTGAACGATCTTTCTTGGTTCGACGCAGCTTGGTCGAATATTCCTCCGTTACCTTCACCAGTGTTTATCAAAGGAAAAAACAGTCCTATTACATCTCAACAATGTTGGGCGACCTTAACACCGGACTTCAGAGCAGATACATATCGAAACTCGTTGTGGTTGACGATCGCAAAAAACACTGGATTCAGATATCTTAGCTCGTATAAGATAGGTAGAACTTCGTATTCGGCAGAAAGTGTGTCCCGTACGGACGCATTTGGGGGTCTTTTTGGGAGCAAAGTTAACTCCGAGGTGACGGTGTCATTTATGGTTGCACCACAGCAACCAGTGGGTTGGAACTCATCTGCAATAGTTGGTATAGCGGCACGATGCAGTGGAGCAGCTAGGGCAGTCGAAGCATGGCTAGACGATCTCTACAATCAGCGTGTTAGAATGCCTTTTCGGAGCGAGAGTTCACAGACTGCTGTTGCAATTGTGGGGACACACGTGCAACCTGGGACACACGCGTTAACAATGCGCATTGTGAAGGAAGGAGACGCTGTTTTAGTCGGAGTTTTTGTTGGGTATTCAAATAAGCCGTAAGAAAAAATCATCTGATGAAAATCTAATATTTCAGTTTTGTATCGTTCCGTCAATTTGTACAAAACTGTTGCTCCAAACCTTGTACTATGAATTTATTACACATATTTGAAATCTAGTGCCCTACTGGTATATGACTAAAATACATATTGCACCGTTATTAAGAACAAATTAAAGCACCAACTCAGTAATTTAGGTAAGATACTGAAGTTGAATAATTTTTTCTAAAATGTACAACAACTTGAATTACTTGATTAATCTGGTGGATTGACCTAATTGTAAAATAAATCACAAAATGTTTCTGATGAAAACCATGCAGCTGGCTATAAATTCTAGTCAAATCAAATAACCTATATTTCACGATTTTTTGTTAATTGACCAGTTTTAATAAATTGATAAATGGCTTGAAGCCATTATACAACTCACATAGAGAGGCTTTGGATACTGGAAAGATAGTTCCAAGGTAGAAACAAATAAAAAACCTCTCTCTTAATCTAAAGTTCTATAGTGTTATCAAATAGCAGAGCAAATTAAGTTTAGCAGAGCAAAAAAAGATAACAAATATTGTCAATAACATTTTCATTGATATAAATAGGCCAGTAAAGATCTAAGAGATAAAAACAACATTTTAAATTGTATATAGTGATCATACCTGATATGTCTTCAACCTCTATTTTGGACACGCTAAGTTTTGACTGAATTTTCTTTGCAATTCTTTTTTCATCTTCTGATTGTGCTATCACTTTAGTGCACTGATATCGAGAGCTTCTCTTAACATTTGGTAAATACAACACCTAAATTAGGGCCACAAGAAATATTAAAGTCTATTTTTTGGTGCATGTACAATGTCAATTTTTTATAATGTTAGTGCACGCATGCATGTACATTTTGAATGATTGGCACCACATTCTTTCAGAAGAAAAATTTTACCCCATCACTACAACTATCCTGTTGGCTGTGCACCTTTAGGTTACTTTAGACTTTTACAGGTTTTGCTCTTTCAGCCAGCACCAAGGCCAGTGAGAGCCAACCACAAACCCCACAATGATATGGATATCAACCGGCCCCAATGATATGGAAAATGGGCCTCCTGATTTTTCCAAAGGTTTCAAGTCCATATGAGCAATCAAGGCCTTGGGTAATCCCCCCTCCCTTGCACTAAGAATGCTGTAGTCTATCAACTGTTTATATACATATATTATAAACACACAAAACTGAATTCACACAACAGCAAATCAACAATATGTTGAACCAAATATATCAAAAACAAATATTTTTATCCATTTTCTATGTGCAAAGTTACATGGAAATTTAGAAATGAGCCTCACAGCCTCACATTCAATGCAGAACACTGTCATGTGTTGATTGCATTCATTCATAATCATAGAGCTCTATATTGTTGGCATCATTCCTATTTCTTGGAAATAACTGTGATATTACTGATATATTACGTGAAAATAGTAGCGTGTCATTGAGTTTTACCTGCCTAAAAACTGGATAATTTGTCCTTGAAGCAGAATTAAGCGAATGAACAGATGATCTGCCTTGAAATATTGAAAGAATTCTGCCAAAAACATTCGCCATGTTGGAAGACGTATTGCGTAATATTACTACTAGCTTTCGGCTTCGGCAACTTTTTACGCGGCAAATTTGCTGGTTGTACAAAACGGCAAACAATTTGCTGGTGCCTGGTTGTACAAAAGCCGCGCAGCGCTATGATGATTTTTTTATTTTTTTAGTTTTATTTGTAAAATTGCACGTTATTCGGCAAAACCATAGAGTATAACTAATAACTTGGCATTTTTAAATTGGAGATTCTCTTTTCTCTATACTTATTTACCTTTTTCATTTTCAATGCTTTTTTCACAACTAGACTTTTACAATTACAATGACTTAAACGTGATCTGAAAGCCAGTGCTACGTGCTAAAGAAATCATTTTCCCAAAACGTTGAAATCGGAATAAAAAATCTCATAGGGAAAGACGAAAAGATGAAAATATTTATTTTTATTAACTTGATGGTCTCATAAATTATTCCTGCCCAAGTCAGCATAGGAGAACCCTATTTTTCAGAATTTTCGAATCCCTAGAATTCTGGTGATCTCTCCTGACCCTTTAAATGCGCTTGGAAGGAAGGCCCTGGCTACGCCCCTGTCAACATTACTGTTATTGATTTATTGTTCCATATAATATACCAGGATAAATGAGCCTTATTGTAATTGACCTCACCAACAACCCTATAACCCCTTGTTTTCGTAAAGCTTTATTTCTCAGTTCTCACGTCGTTGTATCCTGTATATATCCTGTTTTAATCAATGCAGTGCGTTTACCCTAGACTAGTAGATTCTTTGGGATTATTTTTTATGGACTGATTGGTAACGGTACTACGAAATAAAGAATGGTTTTCATTAGACAACACATTTTTGCTTCGCAAAATGTAAAAAAATGTAACTAAACTGTATCAAAAAAGAAATATTTAATTCATTTAACAGATAAAGATTTAACCCACGCTGCTACGCATATTCAATGTCAAACATGCTAAATACAGAACATCTTTTTATCTATAAGCAATACTTGCATGCATTTTTATTGCAAATAAATATGAAACAGTTCACTGAGAGGAGACACCAGTTATTGGATTGGCTCGGTTCTTTTTGAGTTTTTCTACCGTTGCTTTTTCCCACTCTTCATTGATAGTTGATGGAGCTTCTGCTGAAACTTGAATAAGAAAAAACCTCAAAATTTTCAAAGTGGCTCTTCAAAGGTTTTGGCCTGGGGTTGAGGTGTCAGTAATCCATTGTGACAATTTGAATGTCTGGATGTTATTGAAAATGTAAGAAAAATGTTCTTTCTCGGGAACATGGAAACATAACCTACCATATTTTCTTAAAAATAAGAAAAATGTCAAGGAGATTGCCAATAATATAGAGACAGCACCAACAATTTCTTTGGTGTGAGATTCTTGTTGTGCCATTGATTCAATTGTATAAGGAAATGAAGCACGGTATACTACAAAACAACAAAATAAATTAATGATAATTTCACACAGTCTAAAGGAGGTAAAATCACATATTCAAAAAATCATTTCCTTAACCAGGCATAGAAACTGCATAATATTTTTAAGTGACACTGTAGGAATCTTGGCAAGATTTTGATATGAATATCCAGATATTGTATTAAAATAAATAATATGTAATTAGAACAAAAATTTTCTCAGGCAAACAAACTATTGTTTTTATAAACATTAAACCCTTGATTTTGCTAAGATCTTGCGAAGATCTTGGTATGATCTTGCCAAGATCTTGGTATGGCCTTGCTACATTTGATCTTAGTGTGATCTTGCTAAGATCTTGGTATGATCTTGCTAAGATCTTGGTATGATCTTGCTAAGATCTTGGTATGATCTTGCTAAGATCTTGGTATGATCTTGCTAAGATCTTGGTATGATCTTGCTAAGATCTTGCTACACATGATCTTAGTATCATCTTGCTAAGATCTTGGTATGATCTTGCTAAGATCTTGGTGTGATCTTGCTAAGATCTTGGTATGATTTTGCTAAGATCTTGGTATGATCATGCTAAGATCTTAGTATCATCTTGCTAAGATCTTGGTATGATCTTGCTAAGATCTTGGTATGATCTTGGTATGATCTTGGTATGATCTTGCTAAGATCTTGCTACACATGATCTTAGTATCATCTTGCTAAGATCTTGGTATGATCTTGCTAAGATCTTGGTGTGATCTTGCTAAGATCTTGGTATGATTTTGCTAAGATCTTGGTATGATCATGCTAAGATCTTAGTATCATCTTGCTAAGATCTTGGTATGATCTTGCTAAGATCTTGGTATGATCTTGGTATGATCTTGCTAAGATCTTGGTATGATCTTGGTATGATCTTGCTAAGATCTTGGTATGATCTTGCTAAGATCTTGCTATGATCTTGCTACGATCTTGGTATGATCTTGGTATGATCTTGCTATGATCTTGCTAAGATTTTGGTATGATCTTGGTATGATCTTGCTATGATCTTGCTACGATCTTGCTACGATCTTGCTATGATCTTGCCAAGATCTTGGTGTGTTCTTGCTCAGATCTTGGTAGTTCTTGCCAAGATCTTGGTATGGATTTTGGTATGATCTTGCTAAGATCTTGGTATGATCTTGACAAAATCTTGGTGTGATATTGCTAAGATCTTGGTATGATCTTGCTAAGATCTTGGTATGATCCCCGTGATCTTGCCAATAATCCAGCATGATCTTGCGAAGATTTCCTTATGATCTTGGCAAAACTTCACGGCGATCATTCCAAGATTTCATGGTGATCTTGTCAAGATTTTACCGTGATCAAGCAAAGATTTTACGGTGATGGAAGATTCTTCCATCATCTTGCATGGGACAAATCTTATGGAGCAAGTTTCTTGCGAGCCAGTTTAATTTCATTATCACATTCTAAGTACCACGAACGTCAATAATCACAACTGGTATCAATTGCATTCGTGCACGCTTTAGTTAAATTGATAACATACCTCGCCTGCGGCGGCACATATTTTGAAATTTGAATATTCACGCCGTTGCTACCGTTGGCGCAAAGGCGCAAGAAGCACGGATTTACAAACCAACGCACATAAAGTACCATTCGAAAGAAAAGTAAAATACGGATGGTTCTACACTGAAGTGAATTAGTTTTGGTATGAAAAGAAGAGGAGGAATAACTTGTAACAACGGGTAAGTGGTTTAGCCGTTTAGTACAAACACGATAAAATTAACCCTTTACTGCGGATTTGTATGCTGGTAGCATAAACTGGTTTTAACTTTTGTTTTGTAGTTTTAGTTACATTTAAAATTGTACAGGTTTAACGGCGGCAGTGAAGGAAACGGACCACACTATCTCGTAAAAAAACATTTTCATTATCGTGAAACTATAGGACTATAAATGCAAGATGTAGTTTAGCGTTGGCTGGACGGGATTGTCACTCAAAAAAAGCCTTCATTATTTTAGACATTTGAGTCCGACAAGGACTCACTTCTTCTCATTGGATCCATTATGAATATTGGTAGGTTTACATAATTACGGAAAACTCACAAAAATTTTCATAGCGAAGAAGATTCGCGATGTTCACGCATTCTCAAGTTATTAGAGAACTTTTCTTGAAATCACAAAATATAACAAAATAACAGATTGTAACAAAATAGGGCATAAAGCAGATGTAAAGTATTAAAAAAATGATCTATTATGGTCTTGTATCATGATTTTAATGATCAAATATTCTTCTAGTGGCACAACCGTATTAACTTGATGAATATCAAGGCCATCAAAGTGCGCAATCAAATTGCTGAGCCACATCTTCACTGAAGGCTGAAACTGAGATGCGGGACAGAATCCTATGTGACAGAGTCCAGCAAGCAACATTTGGTTGCCAAAACAGTCAATAAATTGTTTGGTAAGAAGTTATATTATGCTGCTGATCAATGCATGTCCAATAAATTTACCTAAATTCATGGCAAGGCCTTAGACACAGGGTAAAATATATGCATACAGCATACTATGTTTTATAACTTATAAGAAAATATTTTTTAACATTTAGATGTACTCATGCAATATCAAGTTTGGCGAGGACAGGGTAAAAAACTCATCATGGATACTTCACATAGGTAGAAAAATGGAGAAAGAAAAATGGAGGAAACCTGAAGCGATGTAATAAACACCACAGATGATAAAACAGAACAGAAACAAAGCAATACTATGATTTAATGCTTTTGCATGCCCTTAATCTAACTAAACGTTAATAAAGTTTTTTTACTGCAACAGAGTGTATCTGTTTTTTCCCTAATCAATCTAGATCTTGCCATGGTTTTGCAAGATCTTGCCATGGTTTTGCAGGATCTTGCCATGGTTTTGCAGGATCTTGCCATGGTTTTGCAGGATCTTGCCATGGTTTTGTAAGTTCTTGCCATGGTTTTGCAGGATCTTGCCATGGTTTTGCAAGATCTTGCCATGGTTTTGCAGGATCTTGTTATGGTTTTGTAAGATCTTGCCATGGTTTTGCATCGTTAAGATCTTGCCAAGATTGTCAACCTGGGCTTGCACAAAGAGGACACATGGCATATTCCACAGCACCACAAAATGATAGCAAATTTCAAAAAAGAATTTTAAGATAGCACTGAAAAATCCAAAATTTCTGGGCATGCTGACATGACAATTGATCGGCCAAATATGCCAACCAGAATTCAGAGGGATGTCAGTGTGGAAAATATGTATCGCACAACCTATATATTGGGCACGATTTTGCATGATGCCTTCTACATATCTATTTACTAGTATTTTTTTGAAATATCATTCCAAATTACTTAGCATCAAATGTGGTATAACAAATGCCTAAATAGACAAAACACTTCTCGACATTTCGAGGGCCTTCGTCAGGACGGTTACTAACAAAGGCCCTCAGGTCGAAACTTCGTGAAGTGTTTTGTCTATTTAGGCAGTTGTTATACCACATTTTATGCTAAGTTGTTTGAAGACGCAGCCACGCTGCTCCTTGGTCATATTGGAACTTATCATTCCAAATACTTAATATTCTAGTTATTGTTTTAATAATATCTAAACCCCAGGGCCAAGCCTTAACCATTCTAAATAAAAAATAACTACTGTAAAACTCTATTTTACAGGTTAAGACTTACTTGCTATTTTATCATCTTTACTAAGCTCAGTCCAGGGTTTCTTGGCCTTTTCAAGAAGACTCTCTGCGATATCATTTCTTTCCACTTCCACTGGACTGTAAGGCTCGAATTTAGGGGCCCCTGATATGGCTACCTCCGTCGCAAACGTACGACGAGCGATTCTGGATAATAGACCATTACGAAAGAGGAATCTTGAGGCCGACATTGTACGTTTATTCGTGGACAAAACTGCAGTTTAAACGTTCAAAAATGAACAAATTGTTGTGAAAAAACTTTGCCAATATGGCTCCCAAAATTAAATGCTGGTCACTGAGCTATATAATAATTCCTGGAGGACCGGCGCCTAATGTTTTTTTCTCAAAAAGTGAAGCAAAAAACATGGCGGACTTCGCCCTTCTGCGCAACCGCAGAAGCTCTGCTGACGCCACTTGGTTCCTTTTGGCCATGGTATTTACCACTGACCAGGCTCAATAATGAGCCCGCTACAGCAGTATTTTCCCCCCTGGTTTTTGTAAATAACAATTCTCCCCCCTGGTTTTTATATTTTTTTTGCCGTGAAATCTTGTTTGTTTTTGAAATATTTTTTGGTTTTTTTGATATTTTTCGCACTGACATCTAATAAAGTTTTATTTTAAGATGAATACAAGTCATACGTACACGCTGTTTTTGCCAGTGCGGGAGCAAATATATATTTAAATATCGAAAAATGTGGACAAACTAAAGATTTTAATACTGACACGAACTGACAGGTTTATTATTTTATTTTCGTAATAATATTTTTGTTATTTATACATTCCAATATGAAAGTTTACAAATGTTTGAATGTTTTGGCACTATCCTCGCAAGACAACTAGGAATTTATAGGCAACAATTTGACTTTTCTAAACCCTAAACTGATGAATTTCGCAGGAAGTATGTAATCTGACAGTATTCAGTATGTGATGCTGTCTTCAAGACTTCATATCTATGCACAATCCAAAATCCAAAGAAACAGAGGCCATAGCTCAGGCAAAATGCTGCGCAGCTGACGAATACTAAGTGCAGGAATATAGTTTCAACCAAGAATCATATTTGCATAATATACTTTTTATTCAAGTCATCAACTTGTACCCTAATAAACCTGTTTTCAGCATTCTCTAATTGCATCCCTGGACCCCTGGTCATAGTAAAGAAAAACCTTTAACCTTCCATAGGCTCCACTGATTAGCCTAATGAATATAGTCCTCTTGGAGGTTGATACCATACACAGAAAATACACAGCAAAAGTTGCTGCAGATTGAAGACACACTGCTCAGTCAATGCATGTTTATATTTATTTCATTAATTAATAAATATGACAAATGGTATAACCACCAGCCAACAACAAAATCAGATAACATGGAAATGAGGAACAACAATGCACAGTCATAAAATGCATGAACTTCATCCTAAAAAATAAAAATGGAGATATGATCAAGATTTATTCCCAAGGTGCAAGAAGCTAAAAAATAAATTAAAAGCCATGATAATTGATCATTTCACTTTGGATTTGACAAGGTAAACAAGATAATATATTAACTAGGCTTTAACAGAGCTCACTATCAGAGGTTGGAATTAATTTACACTGTTTACAGCATCTTATTATTTTGTATATTAGCACCATCAGATCATGTTAATTTATGCTGGGTGGGATCAATAGAAGAGTGACTATAGTAGACTCACTGGGGGAATGGTTTACCTATTAGCATTGATGTTTGCTATCATGAAAACAACATAGACCAAACTCAAAAGATTGACACTGCCAGGAATATAATTTTTTCCCCACACAAGTTAAGAAAAAATGATAAAATTTGGGTATATAACATTGCATTTATTGTTTGTACCACACGTTTTGATGGATTTACTGTCTCAGAAGCTTTGGTACCCAGTTTATACTATAGTCCAACTCGAAAGGCCAAAAACGAAATTGTTTACAGTAAAAAAAGTTGAAAACGGCTTACCTCAGTTACCTGGATGTTATAAAATAAGAGCCTTACCTTACCGATAAGTGAATTAAGCCATTCACAACGTCAGACGCAGAGCACGAAGCTATGTGTCCTTTCCATTTGTTGAACAGGGAAAAAGAAACACTTTTATCCATTTTATATGAAAAACAAAAAAATATATACGGAAAGCTGAAAATATTTTCATAAAATCCAGGAGGGAGATGGACTCAATTTCTCACTTTGTATCGCGGTATGTCAGTGGTATCTACCATGAGCAAAAGGAACCAAGTGGCGTCAGCAAACGCCGAAATCCGCCATGTTTTTTGCTTCACTTTCTGGTCAAGAACCGGTCCTCCAGGAATTATTATATAGCTCAGTGATGCTGGTAGGCTGGGTAACCGAGCCTTTGAGGTGCTTCCATTTTTCAAATATTTATTTTCACGCTGATTTGGAAAAGTTTTTTCTGCATGAATGTGTAGCACACATTAGTGACAATACACATAGCACATCAACTCTAACTTTCCCCCAATAGTGCCACCATGGATAGTTAAAAGATGGATCATGGATAGTTAATCATGGATAGTGATTTTATTATCCATGATGCCACATTCCACATGACGAAAAATCAAATCTATATACGTGGTTTTCAGAAGAACCATTGCCATTAAGTGGAAGTCCGAGATACGGCTATTTCCGATTATATAACGACTTTGCCCGATATGAAAGATTGAAAGTGGAAACCATGTCATTATTGTTCTCTTTGGTTTATGTTCTTTCACTGCACGATTTTGTGGTATTTTTAGCGGCTTTCCCGTGTATCTAGAAGAGCATTAATGGAAAATACCCCTGACAAGTTGAGCCAGGAAATTCGGCGAAATCATGCCGTAAACACAGCGAAAAACGCTATACAATCGCAGCAAGACTATCTCCCATGGCAACGGACAAGAAGACCAGCAGGTAGTGGGCAATCAAGAGCCTCCAGCAGTTCACCATCTTGTAAATCTGGGCTTGAAAGTAGGCCTCTAAGTGTTGGGACCATTCGAACAGCTTGTAGTTCAAAATGTCAACATAGTTGGAATAAAAAATGCAGCGCTGTGCCACCAATCAATGTGGAGGAAGAAAGAAGGAAACACAAACTTTTGAGTGCTTTGAAGGTATGATACCTTAAACCATTAACCAGAAATATGCTACGATGTGCTTGATTATTCCCCAGCCATTTGCAATAGGGCCTGGATCCAAATTTTCACCAAAACTTTCCAGTTGATGTTTCTGTTTCATTTTCATCATAACATACATGTGTTCTTATAGATAAGCAGTGTTACTCATGTCAGAATTTAAATTTTACCCACATTTAGATGGATTTACGTGAGGGGTGCAGGTGTAAATTTGGGTGGGGGTTGTGCACAATAAGCACTACCAGTGTATTTTAGAGTAAGTTTTACACAGTATGTCTTTCCTGAGGCTCCAACTAACTATATTCTATTAAATATCTCATTTTTAATTTTTCAAACAAATATACCATTCTAATATCCCTGACAGCTGGTGCTTTTAACCCATAACAGGTCTGCACCTCCCCCTAAATACGAAACAGCCTTGGATCCACCCTGCATGATGATCGAATGTTAGTTCTTCAGTACATTTATAGTGTTGCTGGTTATGTAATCTGTTTATTTTGATTTACTTGTTTTAGATGCAGATAAAAATGAAAGAATTGTCGCTGTGTGAATATAGGAAGATTTTCCAAAAGCTGTATCTTTTTGTCACTTAATTATATTAATAGATTAACTTAATTACAGTTATTCCAAGGCTGTATAAAGTTTAAATTCACTAATTTTTTTGAGACAAAGATTTTTGTGCAAGAATTTATCTGTTTCATCTTCTATATATACTCATATTTCAAAACATATATTTGACTCACGAATGTTATTATACCATATATATAAATCCTTAGCCTTTTCATAAAAAGTCTGGCTGAAAACAGTAAAATCAAAGATGAAATTGCAGAGTCAGAAGAAAAAAATGTGAGTTAAATTTAAAAAGGGTGTTGTGTGATTGTATAGAAGTGTTGGACTGTAAAGCTAGCAGTTTGGAATAATTATTTCTAGAATTATTGGATGTAAATTGCAAAATCTGTCAAAAAAATCAAGGTGTTAATTTTAATATAGTTTGTTCTTTTCTTAGCATTCAGAAGCAAAGTCACTGTTGCAACAATATGAAAGGTTTCGGGTAAGCAACTTGTGGAGTTCAATGCTTATAATATTTATATTTAATTATATAGCCAGGTCCATGCAGGGCCAAGACCAATGAATGTCCCAAAGATTGCTAGGAAGAGTAAGATTTTAGGTTTTCACTTCAGGTTATATATAGGTAATTCAATTAACAGTGTAATATATTTAGAGACAAGCCTAATTGTTTAGAGATAGAAGTAGTATGACAATTTTTCTGTGTTAAAAAAAGGAAACTCTAAAGCATGAACGATCCCACATGCAATTTTCTGAAAGCACCTTTATTTGATGCATATATACCAATTAAAACCAAAAAGTCACATGGCAATATGTCTTTAAACAACTTCACATCAAATGTGGCATAACATTACATCTTCCTAAAAATAGACAAAACAATTACTCTTGCTTTTCATCAGGAGAGTTAGTTCCTTAGTTCTTATACTATAAAGTATAAACTCTCTTTTAGTATACATATTAGATTAATTAGTGCTGTACACAATCGTGACATTGTTTCTATCATAATTATTACCACATTTTAGGGTGCTATTGGTAGTTTACAAAAACAATATAAATACCAGCATAATGTTTATACTGAGGAGTATGGAAAAAATGAGGAACAAATTCTCGAGGAAGTTCAAGGTAAATTAATTATTGTTGTACATTTGAAGCATATGTATAAAAAGAGATAAGTAAAATAGCTGTTAGGTGGTATCCTTAATCCGGCCTTTAACAATTCATCTGATATCCGATTTACATCAAATCCACTATGTCTATGATTAAAACATTATGTTCGCTATCTGACACCGCACGGTGACTGGCTGTTTATGATCTTCCTGCTTATCATGCATCATTCTCTTCTAACGCTGCCTTTTTCAGGTATACTGCTTTGATGTAAATATGCATTACGATTAATGATGTGTTAAAAACGATACAATAATTTGTCAACAGTTAGTAATAATTGAAAAATTCAACTTACTTTTTATTAAATTTATTTTTTCCTGGTTCGGGACTTTTTCCTTCCCTTTCCCGTCTCTTGGTTCAACACATCCATTTCTAATCTCTTCCTTGGTGAACAGGATCGAAAGCAGCTGTGTTGCATATAAATTCGGCTTCTTTGACTTCGCAGGAACATCCGTCAACAGATTTATTCCGCTTGTATTCCGATGCATTAAAAGAAATGTCTTTTATAGACTAGCTGGGTTTACAACTTTTCTTATCTGCAAGCCATGCAGTAAATAATTTGGTAATAAAGTACGGCCATGAACCAAAAAAACGATAACGTTCTAGTTTACACTATATACCGGATTCACGTGGTCAAGACATGAATTTAGTTGTTTTACGGTAGGGGTTTTCTGTGATCACCAGAACTTTTTCATTTTGCAGGTTATGTTAAAGCAATCATGCTATCATACTATAGGGGTAAAACCCCTGACATGGAATAGTTTTGATATCGTGACCACGCGAATCCGGTATAGCCAGGTAAACACATTGTAAGTGGTGGTTTCTTACAAATTTTTCATCATCTATGTCATCTTAAACTTGGATTGGAGAATTTAGGTCTTGCATGGAACTATATAGTTGACACCTGCAAAATAATAAATGAATTAGTTGAGGTATTTATGTGACACTGTATGTCTGTATCTGATCCAATATTATAATAGTAGTTTTCTTACGAGAACTACAGTTCAAAGGCAGAAAATACAACATACGTAACAATGCATGCATGATCTTGCTTTTTGACTGCTTGAGGATTTCGGAGATATTTTGTTGAGCTCCATACTGTTCTCGTCATCCAATTTCGTTTTTTTTTGTTCGGAGGGGTGAAAGTGTGATCCCATGACAAAGGAGCAGATTGTGTCGAAGATTTTTTAAGAATGTTGTTCAAAGTGTGTTGAATACTGTCCAGCTTTTCGAACAATTGTTTAACCATCTGGGACCATGACTTCACCATTCCCTTTACTGACTTTGTCCGAACTAAAAAGATTATAAGAAATGATGTGAATCATTTAAATATAGAAAACGTCTGCAGAAGCGTTACATAGAACCGTCCTAAATCGGAATATGCAGTTCGAATGTTCGATGGCATATATATGTGAGTCAGAATGTAACTCACTAAATGCATGTCTGACATGCATGTTCACGACGGTTCGAGATCTATATATTAATAAAATGTAACACACACTTTTTTCTTACCTTGGGTGTACAGAGTAATGTATAAAGTTTCAGAGTATACAGTATCGATATACATCGATACACAGGTCTTCAGTCTTTTTTGGAATTGGTCATAATCACCTTAAACAATCGAAATATATTTAGACTAGATGTTGTTTATATAGCTACTTCACCTAAATTCAAATGTTGAATATCACAACAAAAGTTAGTTCTTCTAAATCGATAAAAGAGATAAAAAATCTATTTCCGTATTAAAGTGGGAAATCAAACAATGCATGTTCCTTATTTTAGCGCTACCTTCAGGCAAATCAGCTTTGCTTAACGGGATTAGCGAGTATATTATATGAAATATATATACCTTGCTTGCACTAATTCTCGCGGTGTATACAAATTAAACTATAGTATTAGCACAATGACAAGTGCGCAAATGTTACGAAAATTATGTGCTGCCTACTATGTTTTATCCAAAACTTCCCATGAAACTTCCAAACCCGGACCACAGACCGCATCCTTACCATCTGACCTCCAGCACCCGCGATCCTCTACAAATTATTTACAAGATTAGGAATAAAAAGAAAACGCTTCCTCAAGAGGCACCACATCTTTTAAAAAGAATATTTAACAGTTGGCACCGAGCCTGAGACAACTAAAGGCCTATGCACGAGCAAACAAACCAGTTTTGATTAGTTGCTTGGTCGGTGCCAATTAATGCAGCCTTTCCCTCATGCTTTTGTCTGATATTATAAGCTGCTGTGTGTCGTGCTCACCTTGTTGGGTCATTGTGCACGATATGCTAGCTTGAAATTTAACCTGTCTTTGTCTTTGACATTACATTTTGCAAGGTACCACACAAACGCACATGCAGGCTGTAGTGAAAGTGGCGATGACCACATTGGTTTCTGAACTTGGTTCGATGAAATTCTCGATCAGTTCTATTAGCCTGTTATCTAAACAATTTTTTGTCAATATATGAGACTGAATATTTCGATTTGAAAAGGACAAATCGTCCAACTTAATTTGTTTGCTGAGACTCGAGCACCTCTTATGAATACCAAAGGCTGGCAAAGCCCCACTCACACTAGACTTACGTTATTGGCACGCAACACGGCAAAAATGAGCACTCATACCAAATTTAATCTATATGCTCTGCCTTTGTATTGGTACTGGACATGGATAAAAGTGGGTACTGGGTCGGGTACCAATTTCATGCAAAGGTTGAAGTTCCGTTGTAAACGGGCTCAAGTCTACAAATCACTTCGTAAACAAAACAAAAACCGTGCCTGTTATAGGATGCATTTCTACTTTTTAATGAGCCTGAGGGGTTTTTGAAAGAAAACATTCGTGGGAGTGCAAAAACACAAAAATTCCCATTAAAATTAGAATTGCATTACAGATTGCAAGAAAAATTACACTGCGTAAAACGGCCTTAGCCTTAGGTCTTTTAGGCTATGTGCACACGGTAACGTTTTCACATTCGTTTTCATTCCAAAACGGTCTCAAACATCGTCAATTTACAATAGAAGTTGAAGATAATTTAACATATTGAGCAAATTTTTCTTTGGATCGTGTTGACAGAGCGTCTAAACAAAAAAATAGACAAAAACGATTTTGAAAACGCTCGAAAACGACACTCGTGTGCACATATCCTGAATTGCGTAAGCGGCAAAGTAAACATGCATACAAGCATCTTGGGTAAACTACCAAAGTTTGGTATAAAATAATATAAAGTGTTGGAAATATAGCTTAATTAGCATGGTCTATGTCAGTTTTTTTTTGACATTTTTAGTACTAAATTTCGCTACCGAAATTAAGAGTTTTCTGCCCAAAAACTATATCCTCTCTCAATTCCCAATGTCTTAATATAATAATGTCTTTACTAGAACTCCAACAACAAACAGAACGTTTGGATGTGGCTGTGTCAACGAAAAATAACGAAGTTAAAACGTTACTGAACTATAAGGTATAGTTTTACTACGGTCAGAATCATTGGGATCGACTGTTAAATTTATCCACAAGCGTTGAAATGAAGGCATCATTTTAAATCAAATATTATACATTTGTAGGAGAAAGAATATCCTGGAAAGATACAGGCAATAGCAAAGTTAAGACGACAGCGAGAAAGACTTCGTGTATTGCATCAGGTATGACGTTAGGATTATCGATAAATTAAAGAGAACAGACGGTTATTATCGATTGCCGATTTTTTATGACGTCATAATATGATTAGTTGATGGAAGAAAGTTAACGTCCTACATTTTGATTACCTTATTCATGGTTCGTACACCTTGAAACTTATAAATATCAGGACTTCGTCTTTCTCACGACTATTCGGAGTTATTATGGACTATTCGATCCACAACCGATGACAAACATTAGTGACAAGATCGATATTACGCGGATCCTACCGAAGCTATTTTACAAAATGTTGACACAATATACTCAAGAATTACATGTCATGACTGCCTTTTAAGAATGTTTTTCAATCGTATTTAAACTAAAAGAACAAGGGTTTGAGTTTCGATATAGAAAATCAATTTTCCAGGTTTTTAGGAATTAATTTGACACCCCAGGGTTTTCAATGATTCCCAGGGGGTGAACAAACCTTGCTTATTTGCTCGACTTGCTCTGGATCAGACACTGTTTGTACGAAAGCTGTACCCCTTGACAGCGCTATCCACCGGATAGTCATTTTCAACCGTTGTGAGGTTCAAAGATGGCGAGATAATACATGCATATTTGATCGCAACTATCTCAAAGCCAGAGGGTATATAAAAAAATAATGAGAATTTTGAATGGACTAAAACTATTATTTTTCTTAGGCACTCTTCGTATCGCTAGTGATTCAATTATGAAAACCTGATTCAGTTACATTGACTAATTCAAAAGGCATGTTTGCACTACGAGAACCAACTTGGGTCGAACCTGGGTTGACTCAATTCACTCAAACGTATAGTTTGAACCGATGTAGGTTTGAACCTTGCATGCTTTGAAGGTTCGGGCTAGAAATAATCTATACGCTAATCGAGGTTTCTAATGCATTCATTTTATACCATTTTTATTTGTCAATGCATCAGAAATGTTGGATACAAATAACCATTTTCATGCTTGTCCTAACTTTGTAAATAAAACGCATGTGAGACAACCAATTTGAAAAGGTCATTGACACTGTTTTTAAAGTCCAATGCCTGGCAAAAGTTGCATGGTACTGTACTTTAATTTTGTACGTTTGACCGCGTGAATTTAGTTTTGCTGAGCTTTGAATGCGTAACTGTAAGCCCGGACTATCATCTGCAAATCCTGGATGCACTGATGATAGTACGGATCCGAAAGCTATGCAAAACCAAATTCACGTACAGAATTAATATTATCGCCATGCAAACTTTCAAAGAACTTATTACTGTACTTTAGTTGTCTTCTCAAATGGTAATTTTACCTTAAATATATAATTCTTCTGTTATCCAGAACGAACTAGAGGAGTTGTTAATTGCAATCAACGAGGATCGGGCCACAAGCCTTGCAAAGGAGGAACTTCTTAACAACAACGTTCGAGATTCATTCACCGATGTGAGTTTTTATTCGGTTCGGGCTTTTCATCAAGCGTGTCTTACGATGCTGATTGTTGTAAATATATTTCGACTCTCCCAGGAAGCCATTCTTTCGATGAATGATGATATCAAAGAAGTTGCTCTACAAAATATGATAATGAAGAAGGTCAGGAACTAATAGCCCTGTCTGTTACACGATGCAATTTTTCTTGCAACTTGCAATGCAGTTCTACTTTAGAGAGATATCAAAATGTAGGTAGAGTAATATCCGTGCATGGAGTGTATTACTATTAAGCACCAGTTTCCAAATTTAAATGTTGAACAGGACGCCGGCTCATTCAGGCGTTCACTCGGGCTACAGTTATCTCGCTTGAGCTTGTAACGCCTAATTTTTGGTGTTATGGCATGTTCGTGACACCCGCGCGAGAAACGATCCTTGGACGATTTTGATTCGTTCGATTTTGGTAAACTCGCAAAGCAAAAGGAAAAACCGAGCCCATTTTTCAACTCGCTGTACCTACGGTAGCCCGAGTTGCCCGGTAGCCCTTAGATTGCAAGTTGCAAAAAATTGCATCCTAAACGGGGTTTTAACAGTAATTTCTCTTTTAAAATACAAATATTCACAGCCTGTGGCAAAAATGTAGATGGTCCCAAACCCGTCTATACTTAAACTATATATAGGAGTCGCCTGGAGACAAGCTAGCTAATTTGTGATGTGCCAACATTTTCCTGCAGCTAAAAAGGTTTTTTTAGTTATTAAACTGAAATACTTAACTCTAAATGTTTGGTCATATATTGAAACGAAATGATAATATTTCTATTAGGTGAAAAAATGACAGGGTAAAGGCCTCAGCAAAAAGAAAATATTTTTAAAAACTGAAAAAAACATCGGGCCGAGTCTAAGGTTAAAGTTTTATAGTTTTTAGATTTGCATGAATGTTTACAACAGCCTGGCTTACGAAGCAATAAAGTAACGTTACTAATTTTTATGTACCGGTATTTTTAAAACACCTATAACCAGTAAAATGCTGCTAAGGCCATATTACACATCAAACTCTTTATTATTAGCTGCAGCCTACCACCCTCCACCCACCGCCTTTCCATTCCATAATAGCCAAATAGGTAAAATTTGTCGTCACCATATAAAGTCATTCCCTTTACAGGAAATTGAGATTCACAAAAAGGAAGTGAAACTGTTAAAAAGTGATATTTCGCATCTTCAGTTCAACATCAGGTAAGAAATTTTATAACCATTGGATTCTTATTGGATTAATAGATTATTGTTTTAAATTTGAATCGAAGAAGTTAAGGTTTGTTGAATCACAAAAGAGTGTCCACAATCATTAAAAAATTACGGAGGACCTGGGCCTGGGGTCGGTTGTACGAAAGCCGGATAATGATTTTTTCAACCGTTCTAAAAATGTTTGAAAAACAATGAAATTCCAGCTTTGGAACCAACGATTTTAAAGAGGATCCTCGATTTAAGAATACTAAGATTTAATCATAACGATTTAATAATAAAGATTTAATAAATACCAAACTGAAAACGGGCGATTTTGAAGCGATTGATAAAACCACTATCCGGTGGATAGCGCTATCCTGCTTTCATATAACCGGGGACCGGTCGTATCAAGCCCGTTTAGGTTAAACGGTGGATAAGTCAAAATTCAATATAGGCTTAATACAATTGATCCATTCCCAGGGGCTGATTGTACTAAGCCTGGATAGCGCTATCCACTTGCATAGTGTGATTTTTCAACAGTTGTGGAAAATTGCTTGAAAAGCAATAAAACTACAGATTTGGAGCTAACAATCATTAAATAAAGTCATACCAAACAACAGCCAATTTCAGAGCAACTGAAAAAATCACTTTCCGGTGGATAGCGCCATCCAGCTTTCCTACAACTGGTCCCACCTGTAGGATAAAGAATTCTAGGCCCTTAGTTTACCTGGTAGACTGGTATCAGTTTTACTGCAAACTGGTTTCCCTTTACTTTACCTTTTTCCCCCTTTTTCTACCATAAGTCAATTATTAGTTTCCATTTATAGCTGTTATATTGCATAATCTTGCTTTGTATAGGCAGATGTCCTGCATGCTATAGGTGTATGTGTGGCTTTTTGAACATGGTTTTATCCTCTTGTTTTCGTAGTGCTATCTTAAAAGAAAAACAAGACAGTAATCAACTGTTACCAACTATTTCCTGCAGCATGACAACAAAGTAATTATGTTTAATTTGATATCTTAATTTATGGCCTGAATCCTGAAAAGGACCCCACACTCTTGGGTCAGCTGCCTCTACTGCCCTGCAGTTAGGGCCTAGCTAGGGGTAGTGGTTGTGTGCCCTTTTCTTCCATATTGCCAATATAACAGGTTTACTGACCTTATTTTAACATATTGGCTTTGTTATAAATTATAATATGTTGCATGCTCTTAGCATTAAAACTTCTTTTAATTTGGATCTACAAATCTGTGTGTATATGCATTTAGTTTAAACTTCTCTGTGTAGTTGCTAATTAAGGTAAGATGAAATTTCTAAAAAACTGTCTATATATATATATAACAATTTATTTTTGTTTTGATTTCATAGATGTTTACCAGGAGATGATATTCAATTAGATATTCCTGTTAAGACATGGCTTCCAATATGACAATAAGTAACCAATTGAATCATATAAATATATAATGATAATGATTACATACAGGAAATGGATTAAGTCCCAATAATTACAGATTAATAACTTTATTTCTAACTATAAATAAACTGTAATATGTACTGTAAAATAATAAGAATAAATTATTATTAAACTGCCACATATATGGCACAATCATTGTTCATGAAATAATCAACAAGGAATTGTTGGTTTCCAAGAGAGATCTTCATCATATAGTTATATATATGTATTAAAGATCACTTCAATTAACTGTTTGATGGTGTTTTATTCTGTATATGCATGTAAGTAATGTCAAAGTCTGGCCTCTCAATCAAGTCCAAGAAAGCATTGTTGCAACCAAGTTGAAAGCATTTTATGACGTTTAGATTTGGAAGGATGGATTTCAGGGGCAGGATTAAATGTGGTGGCAGGATTATTTAATAAGCAAATATTAGTAATGCTGCCAAATGATGTGCTGCAGCACAGGTCTTTAGACTGAGTAATAAGGGGTCCAGAATAAGCGGGTGAAGATGCCAGAAAGATGCATATGCCAATTAAAAGAGACATCATTTGGTCCAAATCCATGTTTTAGCCATACTTATATAAATTAAGCTTGAAGGTTGAATTTGTACTTAATTGCTACCAAAGTCCATAAACTCCCTGCGTTATGACATAATGCAGCAAAAACCGAACAGCCAATGTTTACACTTTATGAATACTATGCTACCATTCGAAATAATGGAAACATTAGCTTTAAATGTATGTACCATCTCAATAATATATAGACTTGAGTAATTTTATGATATAGGTAAGCTTAGATAGATAGTACTAGCTGAGGAAATTGTGTATGAATGGTTTGAAATATAGTGAGGGGTGGTGATATTTTGCAAATTTTGGAAGTGGGGGAATGCTTACATTATAATTAAAGGTCCAATGTGCGTGGCCTATATATGGGTGCAGTGGTTAATATATACTGAACACGTCTTGTTTCTACCAACTCTACTGACTTCATAAATACTTGTCTGAGTTGTCTCCCGTAATTATAACTATTAGATGGCAGTTACAACTTACAAGAATTTGCTTACATAAGTTCCAACAAAAATATAATTATCACAACAGTGTTTTGAACTGTTTTTCTGAGTTCTATACTTTTATAATTCTTGTTTATAACACTTGTGATTCTCACAAGGGGCATGCTGTTCCCTTTTTCAAAATAGTGGGGGAACGCCATTTTCATGGGGGAATGTCATTTTCACCAATGCACAAGTACTTAAATAATTGAAATGCAAATTTCACTAGGGGTGATACTTGGGCTGCATAATGCAGTATTGAAATTTTATTTTTGTAACACAGAAACAAAACTATAAGCTTTTGCAAGATTATTATAGTTCTAATTAGAATTAGTTAGCTATAAGAAGTTAAAAATTAGGTATTTAAATGTTAAAATTCATAATTCAATTAGTCTGAAGTTTATCTAACAACATAATAATCAATAACTTACATGGTAGTTCCATTGTATGACTGCTTTAAAGACTTATTTGGAAGTTTAAGCTTCTAAAACTCAGTTAGAAAACCCCACTTGAATCTGAATGCTAAGGACATATAAAATGTAAAATGTGTATAGATTCCTGTTTAAATATATTAGCAAAACTTCCCTGCAGTGATTGGCTATAATAAAATGTCTATACTATGAATAACTAGAAATACATGCATGCAGCTGCCAGCGCATTACCCCTTGCTATAATTTTCAAACCAAGTACATAATTTCAAGTGATACATGTAAGATTGCTTTTAGGATTTTTTTACCTTTTCATGGCACTGAAACAATTTTGCCTCATTGGAGGGATAACAATGCTTAAAAGCTCCGAACATAAAATAGGAGGACTCCATAATTGGATAAGCAGAATTGCTGAATGGTCGAATTACAGTAAATATTCAAATACAATTTTTCAGTTTTCAGTTCTTTCTTTATATTTTCTTTTTCTTACTGCGATTATTTAGCATAAAAAACTTAGGTTTCTCCACTCAAATGCTGGAATAACTCATTACAATCGTTTGTATTTTAAGTGGTTTTGTAGTAAAACTTGTCGCGGATCAAATTATGGCAGGTTCTACGCTGTGTTTTCTCAACAAATTCAGACTAAAAATTCTTCATGAAAAAAGGCCCAATTTAGCTCAAGACCACTTGGCATATAATATTAGAACTTCAGCTATTACTTAAAGCTTTTTTTAGAGTATTGGAAGGTCCCAACAAGTTCCACAACTCATTTAAAGAAAAAAATCTCCAAAGCTATATGGCAAAAATATATCCTAAACGTCAAAAGGCTTGCCTTAAAATCGTATTATGGCAATTCTAAATACATACCTAAAGTCTACATGTTCGGATCTTTGGTTTCGCAAATATAGGTGAAGATACGTAGTTTATAAGTGAGGAAAAATTGATCATAAACAGGGCAAAACAAGCACAAATAGAAGATATTCGCCGCCATGTTGATCTTGTATGTGGTGCTTTCGCAGACGTCCGACTGGTAGGGATATAAACAGCGCGGAAATTTCGAATGTTATTCTACTGTTTATCTTTTATCGAAAGTGGTCGAGTATTTAGGAGTCCAGAAAGAATTAAAGTTCGAGTCGAAGATGTCTGAAAAGCCTGTCCAAAAGACAAAGTCTGCGCCACCAGCTCACCCTTCGTATAAGGATATGATCATCGCATCGATCCTGGCACTAAAAGAACGAAAGGGAGCGAGTCGGCAAGCTATCGCGAAGTATATCATAACGAATTATAAAGTCGGTGACAACGCTACCAAGTTGGTGAACGGTCAACTGAAGAAAGGTGTGGCAGCTGGAATATTTGTTTTGTCAGCAGAAAGCAGTTCACGATTTAAACTTAGCGAAGCAGTAAAGACGGCGGCTAAGAAGCCCGCTAAAAAACCAGCGAAGAAACCCGTTGCAAAGAAGCCTGCCGCCAAGACTGCGAAGCCGAAGAAACCAGCAGCAAAGACAGCCAAGACCACCAAGAAGTCGCCTAAACCTAAGAAGAAGCCTGCGAAATCCCCGGCAAAGAAGTCCAAGAGCCCAGCCAAGGCAAAGAAACCGGTCGCCAAATCAGCCAGCAAGAAGTCGGGGAAGAAACCAAGCCCAAAGAAAGGCGTGAAGAAGCCAGCTGCAAAGAAGGCAACTAAAGCTAAGAAATAAACAAACGCCTCAAAGACGTCAAACAAAACGGCTCTTTTTAGAGCCACCAAATTTTAAAAAGAATTAAGCGTTTATCTCGGTTTGTGTCTCCAGTCTTAAGCATTCAATTGCCCTCGCGTTACCCACACAATTGTTTCAATCTGTTGTAGTAATTTCGTTTCTGTCCAATTATCGTGTGAAACCAAACTTCGCCTACTAGAGGTGCTGTTTGTAATCACAAGTTTGATTTCATTCCGAAACCGTAAGGTAGATATTTATATATAGTAGGTCTCCTCGATTTTAATGTTAAAAAGCAAGTGTCGGCAATAACAATTACGATTTGAATGTTAATTTGCATACAAGGCTACAAGCTCAGCATGGTTGCCTGGAGACATCTCATTCTTTTATAGAACGGCCGGGCTGTAATCGGGGGGCGATTTGAATGTTGTTTATAACATTTCCACTAGAAGAACAGGCGCCTATTAATTGCTTCATTCAAACCAAATAAATATTTGTCTCGAATACAACACACCAAATAAATATTTGTCTCGAATACAACACAACTCGTAAGGAGGTGGGGCCGTCTCGAACGAAGGCGGAAAATTTGCAGTATTCTCGAATTACAACTACAAAATTTTATATTAACTATGGCTTCTATTATGGCTAACTTATTGTAAATAAATAATCAGTGCGAGCAGAATGGCTCCGTTTCAGTTTGACTATTAACACTGAGATTAAATTGAGTATTTTGATATATGGTGCCTAACTATAGAAGTACATGCATGCAGCAACCCCTCGCCATTTTAAACGAAGCAAATTTTTTTCCTGAGCTAGCCAGACCTCAATATAATATACAATTAATGTTGCTGCCGAGGGAAATAGTGAGTTTTGTTTTCCCGAGACGAAGTCGGGGGAAACATTGAAACTCGAGGGGAAACAAACTCACTATTTCCCGAGGTGTAGCAAACATTAAGTGTTTTGTTATATAGGAACAAAAACATACATGTTACACGACAATTTCATTTCAAAAAACTTTATGACAATTTGCAACAATTTTTCACTTGTTTCCCTGGCGGGAAACATTGCATTTATTTAAAGTCATGCATGTGACTACGAGTGAACCAAACACATTTAAAATACACAGCACCTATATAACAAAATTAATTATTATGTTAATAACCTTTCAGTATATATTTATCGAGGTTAACACTTGTCACCTAAATTTTGATTTTGGTGAGGGAGGAAACCGGAAACCCTATTGACATGGTGGCTGGACACGTATATTACCATATGGTCACCCAGGCAAGTACTAACCATCCCCGACCGGACCAACAGTGAGCGGCAGTGCGCTACCTGCTTGTACCACCTGTTCTTAACCTTTTTCACTTTGTGATATTCGCATCATTATTAATAAAATTAACTAGGCAGCTAAGCTACACTTGAAAGGCTATGATGTGGTCATCGTAACGAGGAAGAACAGCAGAAACCCTAACGCTACACACACGGATCCACCTGGTTGTGGGGGTCTTGTATTGGAAAAGTCAAAACTTTGTTCCTTGGCAGCGAAAGGATTTGGAGCATAGATATCATTTGGAGGTTTTGTGCCGTCAAAGAAACCTGTGCAGACACCTGTTTCAAATGCTTCGATCTCTTCACCCGAAACGCCAATGCCAAACATTCCTATTGATACCAATATGCCATCTTTGGAACAATCGTCAACGTATCAATTAAAAAATGGAGCTTCCGCGATATCTGTTGCGCCAAGTATTTCGGCATGGTAGAAAACACGGGTAACGAATAACCGGATAGCCGGATAACCGGATAGCCGGCCTTGTTAGACCAAAGTAAAAAAGTTCATGCATACGGTGTGGTAACAGGCCAATCAATTGTGCATGAAACACTGTACCTTCGGTTTATTTAGCAATAAATATCACATCGGTTTTGCCAGGAAGTAAGCTCTTACCTATCGTTAGCAATAATTTTGAAAGAGAACATATTGGAAGGTGTTTTTTATTATATATGGTCATTAACTAGATTAGCGTTTCTTAGTCAACTGAGACCGATTACAAACCCTAAGTAGATGGCCCGATTTCATATATCCACGGATTGTTCAGCGAAGTAAGAAATTTGTATACTGGAAAATCTATTGGTTATACATTTCGTTTTATAAAAATTTCTTCGTTTTTCAAAGGAAAAGACAAAGAGTAGTTCTCTGTACATATTCTCCTCTGTGAAAACAACTTTGGATTCCGCTATGTTCTGTCACAATACCCGGGGGTAATTTCTAATATCCGGGCGGAGTTAGTACCCTCGCACGGCTCTCCGCGCTGGCTCGGGGATAGAGAAGTCAGTGCGAGCGCAACGGCTCCAAAATCACAACAAATAACGGAAGGTAAAGTAAACTAAAAACAGCCAAGTTTCACTTTACGGTGGCCCACAAGGGAATCACTAATACTAAATTAAATATTCATTTGAAATTACGCTTTCAAATTTCCAATTATTCCCTTCAAATTTCAAATTATATTTTAAAATACTCAACTCAATCAGTTAACAATGCAAAGTCTTTATTTCATCCCAAAACAAAACCAAAATACCGTGTTTAAAAGCACAAAACAATAACTATTAGAACTCAAAGCGTAGTTTCCCGCGAAATGCCAGGAGAGAAAAATCACAGTTAGAATGACTCCTCGCAATTGTAATACAAGACCGATAAGAGTATACCGGCTTGGTAATAAAAGTGGCCCTGCAAATACAAGAAGTGCTTCGAATTTGATTAAAATACGTACGATTAGAAACATTAAAACAAAACCTTTTTTGCCTAATATTTTGAGCCTAAATGCCCGATCGATATTGAGGAAAACCGATGAACTTTCCCATGTTATCTACAATTATATAGAATGAGCAATTGATAAATTCTATACGACTATTTTCGCTGTTGCTATGACACCCTAACTTCTGAAATTTAAAATATTGCCGTAATCGTCTCCGGGGACTTCAACCGAACATGAAATGGTTTTCAAAAGAGAATAATCAGTAAGCAATGTCAGTTAAAACAACTAGTTAAGAGCTGGGAAGACACTCGACCTTGTATTTGCCAACATACATCATTCCTTTGAGAAGCCAAGTGTTTTAGCCCTACTTGGGAATTCTGACCATTGTATGATCGAGTTAAACTCTAATATCTCCATGCAAAGGAAACCAAACTAGGAAAGTAACATGTTGCCCAATCAAGGAGTCTATATACTGTTCATTTGTTTCAGGAACTTATAAATCGAAAAAGTTGGTCAAAGTGGAAGAGGTAAATAACACTGCATGATGAATTGATTAAAAAGTGTTTCCCCACCAAAACGTTCAAACGTCATGAAAACGATAATCCCAGCATACATATACATAAGAAACGACTATAAAGACAGTGGCACGGTGCACGCAACGCTAGCTTCTCGCCAGCTACAGCGGCATAGATTAGGACATAGATGTGCAACTCGGCACATTTTAAGTGTCTTTGTATTGAAAGCAGATGAGAAAATGTAGAAAAACGACAATTTTAACATAAACGTTCGCAAGATTGCCTAGGTTCATAGATATTTGAAAATTCATCCTGGAGAGAAAGATTGAATCTATACTTCACCAGTTTCTGGTCCAATAGTACGATCGTACTTGTTTCTTCACGACCAGGTGAGCATTTTCTCGTTATCAATTTGCCAGCTTTGTTACAGAATCTGTTGTAATACCACCTCTTATAACTTCTTTCTCATTTCTGCTTTAGAACAAAGAAAGAAAGAAAACTGACAGAGATTTTTTTGCAGGAAAAGAACTCAATGCTTAAAAAAAGCTAAAATAAAAAAAAATTCTGCGAAAATGGACATTTTGTAAAGTGGAAAAGAAATTGAAATGCCACAACTTTGCTATCGATTCTGGCCGTAAAATCCCTCAAAATGATGATATAGAAAAAATGTTTAAGAATTACCCAACACAAGTATTCATTGAGAATTCATATGCTTTACAATGACGAGATAAGGGCAAAGAGCCGAAGTATCACTCTGAACTACTAAAAATATGATGCATTTCGCTGCTAATAATTTTCAAAATAATAGTAGGCAGTTGACGTAATTGATTTCATATTTTTAATTTTCAAAATTATTTGTCATATGAGTGTGGTTAATGCAGATTACAGCCTGGGAGAAATACGAGGAAACAACATATATTGTATTTGATCAGAATTTCCAGTTAATTCGGTAAAACAGAAATATATTAAGCGAGTCAAATATCATATCCGGCAAGGGCATTTCGATTTTGATGTAATATTGTCGTCCGTTGCGAAGAAAGGTCGACATGTTAGAACACGACATTGAATTTTTAGTGAAAGTCGATTTTAAAGAAAATACTGATACGCGCATTTACCCAAACACGTGCGTGAGTTTAAAACTGCGTGGATTTATAATGAAGACTAGAAAAAGCAAAAAATAAAATTGACAATAGGAGCAAAACGGGCATCCTGTTTGAAAAGGAATATTATTATGTCTTGTGATGTCCGGCTTGTTTTTCTTCACTTTCTTATTAGAAGCTCTTTGTACAATTGAGCTGTCGGTTATATCACAATAACTTGGATTGCTCGTCATTGTTTTTTCGCTTGTTTTAATCAGAAGATGGCGTTGATCTGGTTAGCAGGATTGTATGCAATCTTAGTATATTCATCTGGTAAGAAGCATACCTTTGTATTTTTTCATGTCACTTCGACCTTATCATTTAAACTTCAAGCTGATGATTGGAGATTTCATACGATTTGTTTGGCAACGGTGAATTTTATGCGACAATTCAGCACGTATATTCCCAGGGAGAGAGGGAGGCTATTACAATAGTCCATTCACCCAGTAATAAAGGCGTGAACTAAAGTTTGTGTTAAATTGTTGGATAAATACTTTCTAACACGTTTGATGACAAAGGTGATACTTTAACTCTTTCATAGGGTGAATTGTGTTAGACGTCAAAGCATATATATATAAGCAAGGGAGGGTCGTTTGTCTCATCCGTATACGGAGGGACTACTTGAGAAAGTAAAACACTTCACCTACGATATAGATTGCAACGGTATGCTTTAAGGCACATATTTATTTAGTATAATTATTGCGAGAAATAATTTTCGAGTAACTTTATTATTTTCAGGGGCCGGTTGTTCGAAAGGCGTTTAAGTCGCTATCCACCGTTTAACTCGCTATCCACCGTATAAAATTTAAACGCTTGAAAAATCGCGTTGTTCGTAGCCCGTTTAGCGCTATCCAGCGATTAAATTTTGCCTATCCACTGTATAAACTTAAACGGTCTCTCGAGACCGTTTAAGTCGCTATACGGCGGATAAATTGTTGTGTTTTTTAAATTTTATAAAAATTATTTATAAAATGGCGTTGTATAGATTACCAGGCATATATATTTACGCGCTTCCAAGAGTAAATAGACACGCTGATAGGAATTTCCGACGTGAAATAGACGACGTACTATTGTATTATAATGATAATGAGTTACGACAACGCTATCGCTTCGGTAGTGAAACCATTAGATATATAACTCGTCTCGTAGAAGATGACATACAACCTCAAACAAACCGTAACCATCCTGTTTCCGCCATACGACAAGTGTTGATAACACTTAGATTCCTAGCCTCGGGAAGTTTCCAGCAAGTTACAGGGGACACAGTCGCCGGTTTAGATAAGTCTACTGTGAGTAGAATAATTCGTCGGGTTACCGTAGCTTTGTCACGGAGAATAGATCAATTCATAAGATTTCCTAATTCGCAA